GGATAAAGCTAGGAAATGCTGCAAGTATCGCAGATTAATCAGCATCTGAGAGACTGAAAGAGAAAGATTAGTTGACATTTTGACTACAACCCTTGAATGGATAACGTCATAGGCAGAGTGTATGGCCAATGTATATAAAAATTTCTTTACATTGATCTTAACACGAAGAGCGTTGGAAAATTGCAAATTGAGTCATGTTGGCTCAGGCATATGTGATGTATGTAGTGTAAAGTATGATTTACAGAGTAACTCAGGAAATTAAATGTCTGCAGGGCAGTGAGGAAATAAATGAATTTCTGATAACTATTTTTAGGACTTTCATAAATACAGAGGCTGTAATTAAGGACTGTTATTCCGATATTTCAAAATGAGCGAGTCAAAAATCAGGGAATTCTAGACTCGCTGAAGAGAAATGCTTAAGAGAAGCTACAGAAACAAGTCTGTGTTGGTGTTTTTCTCTACGTGATCCACCGAACAATCCCATGCTTCCGATTTGTTCTCCCAGAGCCTTTAGTTTTTCATATTTCCTCTCGAACTACCGCCCCATCTCCAACCTCCCTTTTCTTTCCAAGGTTCTAGAATGATTCGTTAATTCCCAGCTTTGCTCCTTCCTCTCCCACCACTCGCTCTACGAACCCCTCCAAATGGGTTTCCGTGCTGTCCAAAGTGACAAATGACATTTTGTCCATCTGTGACCAGGGCTCCCTCTGTCTCCTCCTCCTCTTTGACCTCTCTGCTATCTTGGACAGTATCAACCATTCTATCCTCCTCTGCTGCCGCTAATCTCACCTCAATCGTCATGGTCCTGTCTTTGACTGGTTCAAATCCTACCTTTCGCACTGTTTCCACTTTGTCTCCATGAACAGCTTCTCCTCTAGCCCCCGCACCATCTATTGCGGAGTTTCTTCAGGGCTCTGTCCTTGGTCTTCTCCTCTTCAACATCTACATGCTCCCTCTTGATGACATTATCTGCAGACATGGGGTCAACTTCCATATGTATGCGGATGACATCCAACTCCATCTCTCTGCCTCCACCCTCAACTCCAGGACTACTGCTGCCCTGATGGAATGTCCGTCAGACATCAAGAGAGAGCTAACCTTCTCCAGTCAAACATCAACAAGACCGAAGCTCTCCTAATTGGCTCCCACGCCTCTGGCGCTGGTAGCCTCATCATCCATGGATGCGCACGCCACCTCACTGAGCCTGTCCGGAACCTTGCCGTCTTATTCGATGCCCAACTGTCGATTCTACCCCACATCGGTGTAACATAGTTACATTTGCAGATGACTCCAACTGTGGAATCAGAAGAGAGCTTAATAGGGCTTGCACATGGTCTGATAACTAGCAAATTAAGTTTAATACTGTAAATGCAAGGTACTGCATACAGGATTCAAGAATAGGAAACACAAGAACTCCATAAATAGGACTGAACTGCCCAAAGGGGAAGCTGAAAAGATCTAGGAGTATCAGTGACTCATCGTCCACTATGTCAAAACAATGTGAGGCAGCAATAAAGAAAGGCAAACAGGGCTATATTGATAAATCAGTTGAGTGTAGATCCTCAAACATCATAATTAGGCTGTACAGGCTCTGGTCAGACCACACCTTGAATCCTGCATAGAGTTTTGGTCACTACAACACAAGGAGACTGCCCAGAAGAGCAACGAGGATGATCCCCAAAAATCTAAGATAGAAATTAGGGGATCAAAAAGAGAATTTAGACAGAACCGCTTCACACAGTGAGCCACAAACAGCTCTGAAGTGAGTGACCAATTCTATCTGGAGGATTGTTGGCCAGGACACTTGGAGAAACTCCCTTCTCTTTTCGAATAATGCCATAGGATGTTTAACATCCACTTGAACAGGCAGACAGGATCTAGGTTTAATGTTTCATCTGAAGGACGGCACCTCTGCATTGGAGTCACCAAATGGAGCATATGGTGACACCATAGAGTGTCACATAGACTATTAACCCAGTGGGGCTTGAACCCACAACCTTCTGACTCAGAGGAGAGAGTGCTCCCAACTGAGCCAGGCTGACAGCTGACTCACACCAGGCCAAACAACAGCAAAGCAGACATGTAAAAGAACATCTCTGTCAGAAACAACAACAAAATTACATTTGCATAATGCCTTTCACATCAGGAGGACGTCCCAAGGAAACCAGAGACCAGTAGATTTACACAGGGATGTGTTCTGGACACTATGTGTACACTATTCCTCAACACTACACAGTACTAGGGATTTTATAGTATCATCAAACTGCAATGGAAATTTTAGATGCATACAAGAGATTAACAGCATTCCAATATTTTGGTGGGTTTATTATATTTAAATGAGTCAAAACATTGGTAGCTGGATTCCAATGTAAGGTGATATACAGTGGAATAGGAAATAGCAAATGTGCTCACAGTGAAGTTGTTAACAAAGGTGGGAAAGGACTTGGGTGTGGTTATTGGCCAATAAATAATTCACTACCTAATCACTGTGAAGGAATGAAAGTTCCTGTGCCCACGGGCGAGTACTAGTAAATGAAGTCTCCCAAACATGGTATTACACTGTGATTCATCGCTGTAAACCCTGAACCACTGGTTCTGTTAAACTCCAGNTTTTTTTTAACATTTTGTTGACTGCAAAACCTGCCTTTTTCAGTCCAATGAAAATAAAACACTGTTTAAAATAAACAGCTGCTCCTACTTTCCAACAACAACCACAAAATTACATTTGCATAGCGCCTTTCATGTCGGGAGGACGTCCTAAGGCGCTGGAAATTTTTTTTTGGCCAGCCCGGTCTCTGCCACATGCAGAAACCCATCACCCTGCTTAAGAGAATAGAGAATTCCATGCATCCCATCTACACATGGAAATTCCAGATAGATTTGTTCCAAAATGGAAAGTGGAAAAGAAAGGGAAGGACCAGATCGCTTATGACTGGTGCTTGTACTTTGGTGACTAGTGCTTACTTTCCGTGGGAGATCAGAAAAGGTGGGTTAATCAAGAAATGAAGTTGTCACTCGTGACTTCCGAATAACAGCACATAACACTTGCCGTGCTAATATTTCACACATTTGTAATTAGTGTACATTTTAACAGTATAGGCTGTTAATGGGCACTGCAGGGTTAAGCAAATCTGCCATAGCCGCAGAATTAAATTGTGGCATGAGCAAAATCTTCAGATCTGGGTGCTGTTACTGTGAATCCCAGTGCAAGTTACAGCTGCCTTGAATTTGCTTTTGCCACAGGGTCCTTGAGAGATCCTGGCAGGGATTATGCTGACATTGCTTGGAGAACAGTCTCAAATTGAATACAGGAGGGATACAAACTTCACGCTTCACTCAATTTTCCAAAAAAAATAAGAGCTCAACTGTTGTCAACGTAGTAGAAACTCTGCAAAAGCAGGATTTCCAAACATTCAGATGCAGGCAATCCTCTGGAAGTCCTGTGGTCTACATCAGTCATCAGTCATTTCCATTCCCCCATGCAGAGGTCCTCTGATCTTATATGTTATAGCTATAGTCTGCCAAGTTTGCTTGTATAACATTTCACCTAGTTTCTAATTGATCTCATTCTGTAAAGCATTTTGAGACATTTCTTTTACATACAGAAGTTATGTAAATTATTACAAATTGTTTGTAACTGCACAATTTTCTGCATGTATTCATTGATCATTTCAGCCTAACTTCATCATTTGAGCCAAACTGACTGCAAGGACAATTTTTAAATGTCCAAGGGTCACTAACAGTTGGATTTGATACAGCCACCTGACTGTATCAGTCATTTTATGGTTTCACAATTTTACTGAAAATTTCAGGGATTTCATGAAATCTCTGGTTTCACAACTTTACTGTAACATATATACATAGCAGGAAACAATCAACTGACTCTGGATGAGAGAGAGAGAGAGAGAGAGTGGGTGAGAGAGCGAATGAGCGAGTACAGTTAATTGATTATTCATAACCTCCATAATTAACACTGAATTTGTAAATTAATCCAGGGAATAAAACAATTGAAAGATCTAGGGCAGAGGATGTGTGGTGTGAGGTTAACCTGAATTATACTTCTTCTTGAATTTTAAAGTAATGTATCACCCTGCCTCAGTTTTTAGCATTCTTACTTCCAGAAGGTTATGGCTTCAAGCCCCACATCATGACCTTGAACTCACATGGACTGACTCTGTCCTGAGATGTGCTGCATTACAGAAGGTGCTGTTCTTCAGATGAAATGTTAAACTAAGGTCCCTTGCTGCCTGTTCAAGTGGATGTTAGAGATCCCATGGCACTATTCAAACAGAGAATGGAGTTTCTCTCAGAGTCTTCAACAGTCATCCAGATTTTTGTAAAAATAATTCACTCAATGATTGTTTGTGGGGCAATACGTATACAAATCAGCTGCTATGTTTTGCCAACAAATACACTTTCAATACACTTTACAGTAAAATCCTGTGAAGAGCTTTGAGATGTTTTGTTGACATGATAAAAGTGTTATGTTAAATGTAAGGATTATTGATATAACTCTCCCTTTCTCTCCTAAAGCCATGTTCTCAATGCACAGGATTGATATGGTTTCACTGACACGAGTGGCCATTTTCTGCGTGTATGAGCACAGTCAGTAAGCTCAGATGACCGTCCTCTGTCCTTTATTTATTATTATGCGACTTTCACACGCAAACATTTTTCAGCAGAGATCACTGGATAGAAATCAGCAGCAGAAATTGTGTACCACACTGATCAATGGCTTTACCTTGGAATGAGCTATGTTAAGACATTTTCTACACATTCTTAATCAAGAAGAAATCCTATGGTCAGTAAAGTTGGGAAAAGCCCTAGCCAATTTGGGACTGCACCCATTCACCCCTGAATACATTCACCTCCTTTCCCCAGACACACAGTCCTGACCTGGAAAAGGCAGGAAATATTTCTTGATACAGACGCACACAGAGTCAGCCTAGATACAGCAGTGCCTCACAAACTGAGCTGGATGCTTTGTTTTCTTGTTGCAGCCTTTCCAAGGAGATGGCTGGTGTGACACAATCAACAACAGAGCATACTGTCAGTACGACGGAGGAGACTGCTGCCCTTCAACCCTATCTTCCAGAAAGGTAAGACCGCAGACCGTTCAACAATCTTCTTAGAAAAAAAATGATCATGTGGTGTGACAGGGTAAGAAAGGCAACAATATCCTAACACAAGTTGCAGGGTGTTGAAACAAAGTCAGCATTAGCACGGTTTTACTTTGACAACGATTAACTGCGGCACAGTTATCTTCAGATCAGAGGGGCACAATTATGTTTGTAAAATAATTTAATCAGATAAATAGATTGAATTAAGTGGGTTACGTAATAAATAGTTGCAGATAAATCAGAGGCTAGCTTTGTTCAATGAATTTTGTAATTATAGTTCATTCAGTGAAGATTACAGTGCATTGATTCTCCCCTACACACACCAAAGTGTTCCAAGACGTTACTCTATGTAAAGAGCGCTATACAAGTACAAGTTGTTATTGTATACCGTATTATCTTCTAACCACTGAACCCAACATACACTTGTAGTATATGATAATATTATAATAATAATAATCCTTGCATTTGAAATAGCCGCTTATCATGTTGTTGAGACATCTCAAAGCGCTTCACGGAATGCACTATAAAGCGAATTGAATGTGTATTTTGTGAGTGAAATGCGGCAGCCATTTGTGCACAGCTGTACACACAGTTGTTGATTCAGTGACCAAATTATTATATATTTTTTAACCCCTGGAAAGCGATCTGCCAATTAACTAACAACCGTATTCCTACTTACTGCTAGGTAAATAGAAGGCATGTGGAGTAAGGAAACTTGCCTAAGGTTTTGATCCTCCCAGGAATCGAACCCGGGTCCTCTCGCTTGCGAGGCGAATGTTTTAACAGCAACAACTTGCATTTATATACCGACCTTCACGCAGGGTAGCGTCTCGGAGCGCTATGCTCCCGGACTCCACATATATTACAAAGGTTTGCATACTGCACCGTATTAGCTGTCTGGCTGCAACGTAAGCCCACAACTGTTTTACTAAGAACCACGGAAATCAGAATAAAATTTTACAGACCAAGCCTCTCTTAGTGACCAGCACTCGCTGGACTCAGTCAAACTCTGATCACTACATGGCAAACATGCAGATTGCTGGCATTAAAATTGGGTGTTGGTTTCCAGTACATATGGTCTGAGTTTTAGCTGCCTTTGTTTTCTCCTTTTCCTCCTAAGTAAATCAGTCTGTTACATTACCTTAGGTGTTAGCCCATTTGAACAAGATGGACTCATTTCGCTTTTTGATGAAGAGCTGCCAGAAGTCCTGTTTTGGAGGAGTCTAATGATCTTCTTCTTACTGGTCCCCTTAATATTGTTTTAACCAAAAGTTACTAGCTGTTGCAGGTTGGGGACAGATTCCAGAAAGGCAGAGATTTGGAAGTCTCTCTCTGTATCAGATATATACAAGAAAAACTTCCTACATCAAACTGCAATGATCAAAGGCCTGTGTTTCTTTTCTTTGCAACCTAATTATTGGCATTTTCATTGGGCAGAAACTTGGTAATCAGTCCTCAGTATGGTTCCAAAATCAATCCCCAAGGCGGTGGGAGATGATGAAATCTAGCCATAGGAGTGTTACATTAAGAGGCAAATTTTTCAGTGCATTGACCCTGTCTTCTAGCGAGGAAGAACTCTTACAAAACTGCATTCTGGAGCGAGCAGTACTCTTAGGTACTGCTTTAATAAGAAGGCTTTCTTCCTATACAGACATTAAGAATGGGCCTTCACCCCAAGGCTGCTCAGCGGGCTCCGGCCTGCTTCACGTCCCCCGCCTTGCTCGCCCCACTATTGGTGGGCGGGCCTTCCGCCACTCTGCACCCACCCTCTGGAACTCCATCCCGCAGTCCCTCAGTCTCATTCCCTCCCTCACCACCTTCAAGACTCACTTCAAGACCCTCCTCTTCGACGGTGCTTTTGACCTCCCTGCTTCCCCCCCTACCCTCCACCCTCCCCCACCCCAACCCTCAGCTCGGGTCAGTAACTCTGTCTGTCCAACGCCTTGGGACGTCCTCCCTTCGTGAAAGGCGCTATACAAATGTAATTTTTTTGTTGTTGTTCATTTCAAATTCCTCACGAATTTGTGTACAAATCACTTCATGTCCTGGGGCCTCCCTATGTCTCCAACCTGCTTTCAGCCCAATTCACTACCCATCATCTTTGTTCAGCTGGCTCCATCCTCCAGCACATTCCTCGTCCCTCCACTCCACCATCGGCGTCTATGCCCCTTGACCCCAAAATTATGGAACTCACTTTTTCAATCCCCCCGCCTTGCCTCTTCTTTCTCTGTTTTCAGGTCACACATGAAGATGTTCCTCTTCGATCGTTCCCCCTCTGTTTAGCTCGGTGACAAGCTACACCACTGTTAAGTTCTCTGAGATGCTACCCCATATGAAGGGCCCTGTATAAATTCAAGTTGATCTTGTTGAATGGTCCAAATTCCTCCAATAGTAATATATGAGAAATTGTTTGGGATTATTTAGAAATACTGTTCTGTTGGGGGCATGTTACATTTCCTAGTGAATGGGGCAGACCATATCACAAGTGGTAAAAGTTTTGAGGAAGAAATAGGAAAAAAACTTATTTCACTTAGTAAAATAAATTATTGGGAATAAACATTTGGATGGAGTGTGATCTCTCCATACGTTAGCAACCAGCTGTAGGTATAGACATGTGTAACAGCTCACATCATCTGGTATTATTAAAATTCTTGGTAGTCCAATACAGTTCCAGTTACAGATACACTATGGTGGTGCCTGAGTGATGCTGAAAGTGACTTCTTATATAAGCAGATGAGTGATGGTAATGGAGGTAGTTAGGAGAGAATATTCTACATAATGCAAATCCACTGTCAGAAAATTGTGGTCAAACTCAAACTACCAGAGGGAAAGTGAATGATCAAGAGGGTGAGAAATCAGAGAGAGAAAGAGAGAGAGAAAAGATCAAACACAGAAAATAAATATTGAAAAAAGATGAAAAGAACCTAAGAAATTCAAGAATAGAAAGCATAAAGAACACTTTTGAATGATTAAATATCTTTTCAGTGTGTCAGGGAAAAATGTGCTTTGTCGGTAAGGAACTACTTTATTGCCTGTGAATTGACCTTGATGGTGTTGGCAATGTGGTGCCTGACTTGGACCTCTTTCAAAACAATAACTTTTTCTCAACCATATCTGTTCTGGGATCCCTGTGTGCACACGGAACAATGTGACAATCTCACCTATTGGAGCCTGTGCCAGTGTAGAGAGCGACCCTCACATCTTTTGAGAGTTTCACTCTATTTTGAAACTGACAAAAAACACTTTATTATCAGAATGATGACTTGATTATTGACTGATCTTAGTGTGATCAGGCCAGTGTGATGAATGGAGGATGCCAGTAAATAATTCAGAATTTGTATCAGCATTAAGAATGCCTGTCGTCTTGCTTTGTGGGCATATTCACAGTGTAGTTACAAGTATGAAGAATGGGCGTGTGAGCAAGGTAGCAGTAAAGAACTGGATGGGCTTGTTTGAGATCTGGCCCATGTGCTCAGACTCTGCATGTTTGAAAGAGGTACCTTGGAATTTTTATTTTCCCGCTGCTCTTGACAACTTGAGTGTAGGAAGCATATCAAGCTCAGTGACCCTACCTGAGATCACTACATCATGGAACAGAATGTGAAACGCCGTAGACTTACATAATCGTCACAGGTCACGGGTTTTGTTTCATTGCCTTGAAACATGATTCATGCTGTTCAATAATGCATGCAAACTTCTGAATGGCTCAGTGCAGGTTCGACCCCATGGGCCTATTGCAGCCAAATATCGCACCTTGTAGACTCATTCCTTGAAACAAGTGTGAGTTTCTCCAGCAGTTTAATTAGATGATGAATTTATGTGCCACTGGAAAGTGGCACATTTGTTTCCTGGTCTGGACTGGGCTGTGTTTACTGGTGTCAGCTTGAATAATATTATAATATTGGCTTTGATATCATGGACAAAGGAGAGGGAGGACATTCAGTCAACATTCCTGCTCCTGATCACTATTCACGTATGCTCTGCTGAACTTTTCAACTGCTGAACTCACAGACAAATTTCAGATTTGAAGAATGGGCACATGGTAGAGGGAAACAAGTACATAGGAACAGGGGTAGGCCATTCAGCCCCTCGAGCCTGTTCCGCCATTCTATTAGAATCTATTAGGCTGATCTGTACCTCAACTCCAATTACCCACCTCTGCCGCATATCCTTGATAGCCTTACCTAACAAAACCCTATCCACCTCAGTCTTGAAAATTGTTATTGGATCCAGCATCCACAGCCTTTTGGGGGAGAGAGTTCCAGATTTCCATTTCCCCGCGCGCTCAGAACCAGAACCACAGCCCAGGATGAGTTGGGGGAATGGGATTTGTTAATTAAACTTCTCAGCTCACTGGGAGATTGAGAGGAATACTGATGATTCCTAGTGGTCGGTCAGTGCTGGACTGGGGTGCTCTCCACCAGTGGACTTCATCACATACTGGATGTTCTGTGCAGGTTTCCCCCCTTTCTTTGTAATGAGCTCAAACTCTTCCACGGTTTCCCTGCAGGTCATTCCATTTGCTGCTGACTGCGAACAACAGGAAGAATGCACATGTCGGGACCCGAATGCTGAGGAGAACCTTCAGAAACAAAGAGGGCTGGAAGTGCACTAACACCGCTGAAAGTGGAGGAGGGATGGGAGCAGACACAACAGCACAATTCAGACACGGATGCCCCAGCCTCGGACTGGCACCATCCCAAACAAACATGTACCATATTTTTTTATACTCAGCCATAGTGAGGGAGAGGGAGGGAGGAGCAATGAGGGCATTGTTCATTTCCAGAAAAGACAAAACACGGCAGTGTTCTGCAGTCTGCCCTTCATTTGCCTTTGAGGTTATGTGCAATGATTGAATGCTGTTATCACATTTGAGAAATGCCTCTCTTTGCAAGATGCTATACGTGGTCTAAAGTGAGCATGATATTCAGTTTCGTTCAGTGACGGCAAGAAAAGCCGGGTGGTAAGGTCCCTGCTGTGTAGTTGCGCACTCCTTTAAGGTGATTGAGAGTGTTCAGGTGCACTGCCAAGTTCATCCTTATACTTAATCCTCGTTCTGCCTGACCCAGATGCTCTCTACAACTGCAAACATTCCACTTCCCCCCAAAGTGGTCAACCTTAAAAATAACCTTCACCTCAATGAACGAGCCACACTGATAGAATGCTTTGTGTCCACGATGAAGCCTCTCAGAATGCTGATATTTACCACAAAATATTGCTGCCCACTCTTACTGCGAACGAGAAGCAGTAGGTTTATATTTTGGGGTGAGCAAGGGGGGAAATCATTTAATGTTGAACTGCTACTGACCGGAAAAGACTGTCAAAGGAATTCAGTTTTCTTTCACTAAATTCTACTCCATTTACATTGGCTGAGCATGTGAAGTGTAAACGGTATGATTCCCTTGTCGTAGTGAAGAGGTTTGCCCCTCCATAACCTACCCCACCCTTATTTAATGGGAGGAGTGTCCTCGCTGCTGGCTGCTTTTGAATTTTATAGACATAAATACACTGTAGTGTGATATTAGACTCTAATGTGTGACAATTTCTACCTGAGTAAGGACTCCTAATGTAACCAGAGGTACGTCACTTTGACTGTATGATCTCCAAATCCTAGCAGCGTTCATGAATGTCTTCTTGATATAGNTTTTCTTTTCTTTTTAAGTAACCTCGTTAGAAACCACCAAATTATAGACCCCCCTCCTCCCCCACACCCATTGCTTGCAGCCATGCTATACATTCCAATAGCGCAGTCACATTCTGATAGATCAGTGACATGGTCAGTACTCTGATTGTAAAGCTTGGGTAGTCTTAACCTCGTCACTCATGGGCCTAGATCCCACAAAATACACAGTCACTCCACTTTACAGAAACTTGTGAAGCGCTTTACATGTTCTTCACATGACAAGTGATGTGCCGAATGCACAAATTATTATATTAAGCTTAACTCGTGTCAGCCTGGCTCAGTTGGTGGCATCTAGGTTGAAAGATTGAGTTCAAGTTCTTGTGTTGAAACTTTAATGTAACATCTGCAACATCAAAAGTCTCAAAGCAAATTAGGAATTGTTGACAATTGCATACAGTCGGTAAATGACAGCCATCTTTCACACAGCCATGAGATGAACAAGCAATTTATCTGGAGGATTGTTGGAGCAGCTCCTCTTCTTAAATAGTGTCATGGAATCTTTAATGTCCACCTGACCAGGCAGCGGGAACCTTCTCATCCAAAGAATGGCACCTCCAACAATCCTGCGCTCCCCTCAATGCTGCACTGGAGCATCAAGCTGGACTGTGCGCTCCAGTCCCAACATGGGGGCTCCAACCTATAACCTTAATAATAATAATAATCCTACATTTGATATAGAGCCTTATTATGTCGTTGAGACGTCTCAAAGCGCTTATAGATATATACATTGTAAAGTGGATTGTTGGTGTGTTTTGTGGGCGAAATGCGGCAGCCAATTGTGTACAGCAGTGTCCCACAAACAAACCTGTTGACCCAGTGTTCTACCAAATAAGCCAGGCTGTGTACTGCTTGCTCTCACTCCCTCCACTCTTACCACCGGAGGTAAGGCCATCAGCCACTACAGTCCTGCCCTCTTGAACTCTCGTCCCAAACCACTTCATCTCTCTCTCTCTCTCTGCTTTCAAACATTCCCCAGAAAGTCCAGCTTTTTGACCAGGCCTTTGGTCACATTGAGTTTCTACCCAAGAACAGACAGAGGGGACCTAAGGCTCATTTTCCACATATAAACACACTAGGATGGATGGAGGCATGGAATTACAGAGAAACTCAACCTGTAAAATGTACTCTCCAACTTAATAATAATAATAATCTTTGCATTTGATATAGTGCTTTTCACGTCGGGAGGACGTCCCAAAGCGCTTCACAGAACACACTGTAAAGTGAATTGACTGTATATTTGTGGGCAAACGCGGCAGCCAATTGCGCACAGCAATGTCCCACAAACAGTTGTAGATTAAAAATGACCAATTTTTTTTTTTGGTTTTTGGAAGGATTATTATTAGGCGTGTGGAGTAAGGAAACTTGCCCAAAGTTTCGCCGTGCCTGGAATTGAACTCAGGTCTCTCGCTTGCAAAGCGAGTGCTCTAACCACTGAGCTACAGAACTTATACAACTTATATTTAATACAATTATTACAATCATCACCCCAGACACTCTTTATCTCTCTCTGGTGTGTTGCCTGTTCTGCACTATTAACACTTCTTCTCCCCAGTTTTGTTTCAACCCACCCCCACCTTTTGTTTTACGCCGCTATCACCTCTTTAACCCATCAAGTAACACACTCTCTCCTTTGTCTTCTTTGTCTTCCTTTGTCCTGCCTCCCCCTCTCAACTTGTTCTGACGAAGGGCTGTGGACTCACTTTCCTTTCTCCATGGATGCTGCCTTGACCTGCTGAGTTTTCCCAGCTCCCTGGTGTTTATGTTTGTGTTTAATCCAGAGTCTAGGTTTGAACAGGCAGACAGATAGGGCAGATCTGAGTGAGACTTTAAAACACGGCATGAACTATGAAGAACCAAGTTCAACTTTGGAAAGAGAGGACCCTTCGCAAGACAACCCAACAGCCCATTCCATTCCAACAATCTATCTCTGGGATTTCCATGGGTAGGTGGGATGCATGGAATGCTCAGTTTGGTTTGGATACTCTTGAGCACGGTGATGGGTTTCCACATGTGTCACACATACGGCTGACCCAAAAACAAATCCAGGCCCTCGATCAATAGGTAGATGGATAGACTAAGTGCGATCTGCCAGGTTCAAGCCAAGCTCCTGGCTGCAAACCAAACAAGACCTCATCGTTCTGAGCGATAAAATGCTAGGTCGTGTGAGGCTGCGTGTGAGAGAGCGTCTTGGAGCTCCTGTGATGACTGGTCATGCCCCATTGACATTCACACGACCCTGCGCCGATCGCTGACTTCAAAGCAATGACATCAGCGAGGCAGCAGCTGCCGGCTGTTCCCAGCGGATTTCAGCAGTTTGAGGGGAAGCGAACACAGATGGAAAAAGAAAGGATTTCCCACATCTGGGAAGCTGTAAAGAACGTTACATTGTGTGATTCAGACCAATTACTGTCGGTCTGGAAGGGATTCTGTTTCGCCACTAATGCCCGTGTTTAAATTAGATAAAAATGTGCCACAGCACCTCAGTGTTTAAATGATTCAGTGTACAGAACCCTAGGTTTTATTTAACAGCAGGGTGACACTTCAAAACTAGGAAACGTAGCATTATTTTAGGGAGGGTTTTGCTTTAAAAGACCTGAAGTTTTTTTAATATATATATATAAGCACACTGACGTAAAATGTAAAATTGTACAGAATTTTGTAAACATTTTCTAAATCCTGTCTTAATTTGCAAGCCGTGTGTTTTTTTTAAGAGCCAAGCCTCCAAATTAGTACCATACTTAGGAGATTTCTAAAACGATTTCTAAAAAGATACATTTCTATATAAAAATAACACTGCACAAGAGAAAAATCAGCAGGTTTCACCACACAGGGTGGCAGACTATGTTAGCAATGCCTCACTACACCACTGGGTGACAGTCTATCTCAGTCATGTCTCACTACTCCACTGGTAACACAATCTCATTTCATTTGTGCCATTTTTCAAAAATATTTGCACTCTTCGGAAGGGAGTTTCTCCTGGTGTCCTGACCGACATCCCGGTCAATCACTTCTTGGCTACTTGTGAGACACTGATGTGCTCAAATTGGCTGTTGTGTTTGCTCCTATAAAATACTTAGTCACTGTACTTCACAGTAAATAATGTGAAACTCTTGAGACGTCCTCCATTTGATATAGTGAAAGGCACTATATCAAATGGAAGTAATTTTTGTTGTAAGATTTTCTTTTATTCTCCACGCTCCACCTTTCTTGCACCCCTGAGGTGGATAGATTTTTATTAAGTAAGGGTATCAAGGGATATGGAGCAAAGGCGGGTAAATGGAGTTGAGGTACAGATAATAATATAACAGTACTTGCATTTGATATAGCACCTCATCACGTATTTGAGATGTCTCAAATCGCTTCACAGAATATACTGTAAAGTGAATTGCCTGTAAAGATCAGCCATGATCTAATAGAATGGCGGAAGGGCCGAATGACCTATTCCTGTTCCTATGAGCCATCGAACTGAGCAACTGTTGGGAAGAACAGTTGACCTTAGCTTGCATGATACATCAAGTGTTCCTCCCCCTACTGAGGCCAGCAGCACCAAGCCCAGATAATAATATTATAATAATAATAGCAGTTCTCCTTTTGGTATAATACCGTTCAAGTCAGGAGCACATACCATAATAAAATATTCTTTACAGGACGCCTCCAAGTGCAGGATATCCCTTTTAAGAAGTAAAGGGCAATTAAGAAAAAAACAATGAGATAAAGAGAAGAATGAAACGGGGACTGAGAGTGGCACACATTGGTGTGGTGAGGATCAGTGGATTGGAGTGCGTTTGTGCTTACCCTTACAGAGCCAGGTGAATGAATCAGTACGGTGGGTAAGGAATCGGCTGGTCTACTACTAGAAAAGATTAATTTGGTGCAGCAGGTGGGCAAAAGTATGTGGAACTATGTTTGGCGAACCACTCAAAAGAAAGGAGAGGAGAAAGGACTCCAAATGTGGAGGTTGACTCAAGCAGATAAGATCTTTCTGTGAGCAGTTGGAAGAGTGGTGCAATGTCAATGTATTTTTTGTTCTTGTTTGCTTTGAATTGGTTTGATTAGGGGTTAGGGTACATAGTTGTGGGATTTGTTTTATGAATTTTTTTTGATGAATTTTGTTTATTTCTTGCTGAATAAGTTAAATCTGAGCCGGGTGAAGGACACTCTGTTTCTTAGGGGGATAGGGGAAAGGGCAGAGGTGACCACTGTTTAACTGCTCTGGGTCGCTACCCTGTGTGAGGGGCGCTATATAAACGCAAGTTGTTGTTGTTTGAGGGTGTGGCTCTCTTCTTACCCAATAATGGGCTCATGGACAGTGACTAGAGTTAGAACAAAGAAACATAGAATTTTACAGCACAGAAGAAGGCCATTCGGCCCATCCTGCCTGTGCCTGTGCTTTGAAAGAGCTATCCAACTAGTCTCATTTCCCTGTTAATGCAAATTGGTTGAAGGCAGAACATGGAGCAGTTTTGCTAAAGTTTGATTTTAGCAGGAAAATTGCTCAGAAGGACCTGGGTTTCATCCAGAGGAACTGAACTGTTTAATCAAGGTGCTGTGAGAGAAAAGATTTGGTACAAGCTTCAAGAATACACAGCTGGTCAAAGAGTTTTGGAGAGATTTGATGCAACGAATCAGGATAAATCTGCTATTTAATGTCCACCCGGCAGGTAGACTGGGTCATAAATCAAAAACTATTCAACCAAGAAAATTTATTTTTTTGGCCCACCAAAAAGTTGGCCACTGGGGCCTTTGAGATTCCTTGGTCCATTCATCACCATCTTCTCTCCAATGTCCATGCCAAAAGAGATCGCTGTGACCGTAAAATGGAGGCGGGGGAGGGGGATTTGCGTCATGTGTAGAGTGGGTGTAAAACAGGTTTTATGGTATATTATTAGTATGCTGTTGCCATAGTGACACCATCTTGCAAGCTGAACTCCTGTAACAAAAGTAAGTAGTAGAAAACAGTAGGAAAAAATCTCCTTAAAATCTCTCTTTTTAAAAAAACAAGACCCACCTTTCGGCTCGCAGCGGTAAAAATACATCAAAAGGAGATTTTTTCTTCTCTCTCTCATTTCCTTGACAATTTTCAAACAAAGCACCTTTCCTGGCACTGTGTGAGATGGTTGAAACCAACCCCCAACCCCCCACCCACCCCCCCACCCCGTCCATGCCCCTCCCTGCAATGTTTGTCGGAATCGAGTCCTCCGCTCCACCCTCGGCGGCCGTGCCTTCAGCCACTATGCCCCGAGGCTCTGGAACTGTCTTCCTCACTCCCTTCGCCTCGCTCCTTCCCTTCCCATTTTCAGGTCTCTGTTGAAGACCTTTCTCTTCGACCGCACCTTTAGTCACCTTCCTCCCCCTGGCTCCTCCCCCTCCCCCTGGCTCGGTCCTGGGATCCTAAACTGTTAAAGCACTCTGAGACACCGTCCGGCGTGGAGGGCACTGTATGTTGGTGGGCACCAACTTGTTGCTGTTGTTGAATTACTTGATCCCACCATTATTTTGTCACCATAGAGAACACAGGAGATGGAGACAGCTCAAGCTCCTCACCTTAGATTGCTGCCCGTTTATTCCTCCCAAATAAAAGTGTTCACTCACTCCATGTCACAGTCCAGGCTGACACTCCAATACAGAGAGAGAGCGAGAGAGAGGGAGAGACAGAGAGCTTGTGTGTCTGCATTGTCAGAAAAGACGTGTGTTGTTTGTGGAACACTGTGCACACTTTAGAGTTAATCCGGAGAAGTGCTTTGAGATGTCTTTCTGCCGTGAAAGGCTTTGCATCAAATGTATCGAAGGTTTACTGTTGTTATTACAGGGGGGAGAAAAATGGGAAAGATCCTAAACAAGATACACACAGGTTTCAGTCCTCCCACACCAGAGCAGAATGAATGGATCTGTTTGAAAGCCCAGCTAGTGCTACAATTAATACCAACACATTTGTTTCCATATAAATCATTAAGTGTGCGTGTGGGGGCACTTAATTAATTGTGTAGTCTCTGACTTATTTCAATGAATTAATGAGAGATTTGAAATTATGAGTAAAAGATGAATGTGCCCAGCACCGAGGAGATTGGTCTAATAAACTTGCTAATGAAGGGAAAGTGTACTTGTACTCATTAAATAGCAGAGGATGAGAATTAATTGGATTAATCAAGAATTCAAAGAGGAATCATGTGGCATTCGTGAGTCAGACTGGCTCAGTGGGTAGCACTCTCACCTATGGGTTGGTTCCTGTCCCACATTTGGGACTTGAGCTCACAGTTCAGACTGACATTGAATTGTCAGAGCTGCCATCCTTTGGATGAGACACTAAACCCAAGTCCAGGATAAAGCTACCACTTGTGCCAACAGCAGTAAAAGTCTACTTGCATCCCCACTCTCCCTCCCGTCACTCTGGGCTACATTCACTCAGCTGTAAAAGGATTGTGTCAGTTTCCCCATTAGCCATGCTTGTGGTTTGCAGAGTGAGATTGCCAATCTAGTGCTGAATTGAGGTACTACATGTGTTAAGAGTTCACAACGCTCAAAGTTATTTAACTAAGGGAGCTTTACAGTCAAAGGGGGAGGAACCTATCAGCCCATCAGTCCAGTCTGGACTTGGACCAGATCCCTGAGGAGAGAGGACAGAACCTGCTGTGCTGTCAAGTAACCGATTGGATTATGAACATTAAAGTGCGCGAGGGCTGAAACTATTTGATATCCACTTTGAGGATTTGTTTAATGCCAATTTACAGATCATTCAGAGTGGGCATAATTAAAGACGGATGTCTAATCACTCATTAAAATAACTGCACATCAATGTCGGTTACAAGTTCTGCCAGATGAGTTTCGGCCTCAGAAGTTGAATCTCCAGCCGTTCCCAAAGTGTCTGCTTTCTGCCTTTGATAACACTCCAGTTTCTTCGGTATGGCTTGCCAACATTTACAAAGTACATCAGAAGAGTCCATCGGTGATAAGTGCAGAGAACTGGCATCATTATTCAGCTCCCGTGATAGCTAATGGACAGTTTACACAGCGATTGTAGCGGAGAGAAGGGATTGGGTGCTGGCCATACACTTAAAGCTCCTCTTTGCTCTTTCGCTTAGGGTTGAGCAGAGCTCTGCGTACATGCTGCCCAGAGTGCGTGCAGTGCTCCGCAAAGCACGGTTAGATTATTTTGCTGTGATTAAAGAGTGGGTCACTTGACTAAGATTTTTAAAAGAAATGTGAGACGGCTCAAAAAGTACATAGAGTTGCAGACAATGATACAACATGGAAATTAGGCACCTTGTCTAACTAGTGTATGGCACTGTTTACACGCCACACTAGCCTCCACCCTATGTTATACCCCTCTAATCCTTTCTCGCATCAAGTTTACAATACAACATTTGTATAGTGCCTTTCAGGTCAGGAGGCCATCCCAAGGTACTGGGCAGTCAGGGATTTGGACCTGAGCAGGGCAGAGGGTAATCAATGACTGAAACAGGTTGCAAGGAAAGGTGGACTCATTTTAAAAAAAGCAGCTTGATGCTGTGGGGGTGGGTGTCCTGGACGGAAGAGATTGGATGGGTTGAATTGCCTTCTTCATCCAGACCAATCTTGTTCCACTTTCATTTATCTTTTGGTGAATTAGGTATTAGCGAGGGCTTCACTACTGGCGAACAGAAACGTATCTTTTGGCACATCATTGTGAGTATGAAAGGTTTCTGGCTCAGGGGCAGAAGTAAGCTCCTTCTCCTCTAATGCCACCCCACGTCCTCCTGACACGCGTGAAAGGCACTATACTAATGCAATTTGTTGTTGTTTAGCATTAAGTCCAGGATAAAGCTACTACTAGTCTGTGCCGATAGCAGTACAAGTCTACCTTCATCCCCACTCTCCCTCCTATCTATCTGGACTATATTCACCTGCTGTAAAAGGATTGTGTCAGGCTGGCTCAGTGGGTAGCACTCTCGTCATGAACAAACACTCTGCCGACGTTAGGGGTCTTGGCCAACAAAGGTTTTTTCCTTTGCTCTGCGGTGTACAGTAAGGTTTGAAACCTGGCCCATTATAGACAAGAGGGTAAGTCGGAGGAGAGGGTGGGAGAGGAGTGTCAGTTTGCTGCCAGCAGCGACACGTGTGAGCAGGCTCCAGGCACAGTGTTCAGTAGTAGCTTCAAATCAGTGGAGCTCACCTCTTGCTGGAGTGGTGACTCCTGTCCTTCCACAAGGCTGCAGAGCAGCACAGCAGAAGGAAAGGCACCTTCCACAACCTCTCCACACAAAGGTAATTTCCCCTCGAGTGAAATTTTGTAAGTGGAGTCAGGCGTACGTTATAATTGCGACCATTGTCATTTGCTAGGCCACTGCCCTCACCTGCTTGTGCAGCACTGAATAACCAGCTAAGTCCTTTCATTCCTCCTGTCTCCTCCCCTCCCTTCGGAAGATGGCTGCCGCGTTTCACTTACACAACACACAGTCACTACACCTTATAGTTTGTCCTGTGAAGTGCGTTGAGACCCGACATCTTCGTGACATGAAAGCCTCTGTAATATATGTAAGGATTATTCTTATTCTTATTTATTTCAGTGGCCTTCCAGTTAATGAATATTAATAATAATAATATTGAGA